AAAAAGGTTATTGGACAAAGCACTCATAGGAAGGTGGGCAAACCGCAGACACGTGTTTCTGGCTATTTAGCCTTCGTCAGTACGGTACAGCCAAGTGTAAAGGATAGACAACACTTGGTTGCAAGAAAGGGGCCAAACAAAGCAAGCGGATTCATCATCAGGGGCCAACTGCGATTTCGTGTCATCGTTGGAAGACCTTGTGATTACAAGGACTAACTCCCAACTTAGTCACGGGAGCAGCTATAGCAACCTGCGTGACATCCGGGTCCAAGATGAATAAAAAAAGATAGAGGGATATTGAGTGAGATGGTATTATCAATGGAAAAGGGTTATTGGACATAGCATAGCTATTGGGCAAACCGCAGACACGTGTTTCTGGCTATTTAGCCTTCGTCAGTACGGTACAGCCAAGTGTAAAGGATAGACAACACTTTCTTGCAACCAAGTGTTGTCTATCCTTTATGTGAGTGCTATGTCCAATAACCCTTTTCCATTGATAATACCATCTCACTCAATATCCCTCTATCTTTTTTTATTCATCTTGGACCCGGATGTCACGCAGGTTGCTATAGCTGCTCCCGTGACGAAGTTGGGAGTTAGTCCTTGTAATCACAAGGTCTTCCAACGATGACACGAAATCGCAGTTGGCCCCTGATGATGAATCCGCTTGCTTTGGTTGGCCCCTTTCATGCAACCAAGTCTTGTCTATCCTTTACACTTGGCTGTACCGTACTGACGAAGGCTAAATAGCCAGAAACACGTGTCTGCGGTTTGCCCACCTTCCACCGGAGATACGGGAAATATATGTAATTACGATATGTAAATGATATTTCTAACTTCATGCAGCCTCATACATCAGTTTTGTTCGTTGACGACAGCACGTTGATCCTCACAGGGAGTGAAAACGATGAGCTCTCAAGGGTAGCTAATGAAGTAAAAAATATGACAGAAAGTTGGTTCAAGATAAATAATATTGAATTGAATACGAATAAAACCCAAAATTTGCATTTTACTGTGCGTACTGTGAATCATGACGTGGAAAAGGTAAAATTATTGGGAATAACTTTGATCAGTAATCTGACTTGAAACTGTTACACTAATCAGTTTAAAAGTAAATTACGTTCAACAATATTTAGTTTACGTCAATTGAGAGATGTAACTAGTCCCCATATTTCAAAAACAATCTATTTTTCTCTTTTTCACTCTTCCATTAGCTATGGTGTAGTTCTCTGGGGAAATTCTATCGGAGCTGCAAATATTCAAAAAAGAACTATACGAATCATCAGTCACTCTAATTATAGAGAACATTGCCAACATCTTTTCGTAAAATTTAAGATAATGCCATAAGCTACATTATACATATTTGTAGTTTTCGTTGAAATCCACAATAATTCGAGTTCCTTGACCAGACAGTCTGATAAACATAATCATAACACACGGAATGCCAATTTAGCTTGAACAGAGACCGATTTCGTTTTACAAAATCTCAAAAAAAAATAGCCTGGACTATAATTTGTATAACCGTCTTCCTCTTCTGAGATACTGTTTTCACTCAGTCAATGAAATGTAGAACATATTTCTACCACCTAATTTTGACAATAGTTTATGTGTTATTTCTTCTTCTTTTTTCATCTGTAGTTTGGTCAATTTCATTTCGAAATATTATTTTTTTATGGGTCCTAAAATTCTTAGTCAAGCCGCTTCCTTGGCTAAAGAGTCG